ACGTTGACTCCGATTCCGACACGATTTCTGGAGTACAATTGGACAGCAGAACATGATCCCGCCATGACCCAGCTTCTGGAGTGCTGGGAGAGTTACCGATAGCCTCTGGTACTACCTTCAGGGACACTTGCCCTACTTTCTCTGGCACATTCGCGTCGTGGGCTGCTCTAGAAGATGCCTTTTATCGGTGCGGTTCACGTTAATACTACAGGAATTTATTGGTGTCTTAAGTTTTCACTGACGATTATTACTTGTGACTAAATACTAAAGATATCAAGAAGAAACTCACCAAATATACAAGCTAAGGACGAGCACTTCCGTTCACATAAGAAACCGAGACCGCATCAAACGAACAGCACCGCATGGAGCTAAGCCTGTGTCGTTCGACGAGGAGTTGCAGTTTTACTCGAAGACTGTTATCTGCACTCATTTTTTGAGTTGAGTTCAATCCCTCGACACCAAAGACCATGTATTCACGAAGGTTCACACAAATATCATAGTATGTTGCCCTACCTGCATTGACGTGAGCTTCACTCACTGGTGTGGCAACATTTTTGACATGAAGCGCCGAATCATTTGGAACTACGTTCAATATAGAGTCTTTTCTCGATGAGTTGGAGAGCATAAACACTCAAGTATACATGAAAATAATGAATCCGGAACAGAAGATGGAAACTAGAACGTTTTACGGCTGGCGTCAACAAGATGGGTACAGCTGCGGCGTCCTAGTCGTGCACTGATTCGAGCAGTACTTATCGCTCACGCGTACGAGGCCCCCTGACAAGAACTTAACAAGCTTCCCAGTGATTCGGAATGGCAAAGTTGATCAGAAGCAGCTATCATACTAGAGATATAAGCACGTTTCCTACGTATTCGACAGCATAATGTCAGGCATTGATAATGACAAATAAAACTTTTTTTTGCATATCGAGGCTAACGTGCGGTATAAGGGCGTTTCATTCAGATACTTACTTTGTGGACGAAAGCAAATTTGCAAAGCATTTTACTTGTGTTGCTACACAATTATAGATAAAAATCTAAAAATACTGATGCGAACCGGTACGGCTTTCAGCGTAACCGACAAAGTCTACGCCCGCTCTCTACGCAGAATATCGGTGAACGTAGGGAGAGCCTTTAACAAATGAACCAATTGGCGGTGACCCGGGTCACCAACTATTATGAGAGCAAAATCTGAAATATTTATTTAATTTTAGCACCAGGTACTTCAGTAACAGTTCGCGTTTGGACTGCGATCCTTCCACTGTTGGCTGAAATGAGCGACCCTCCTACGACGAACTGGCGGTACAGGTGGCTCGAGCCAGACTGCACCACGGAAGAAACAAAAGCCTCGGAATCGACTGACAGCGTTTGAGCGTGCTTGTGCTCTACTTGGCACTGAAAAAGTTGAGCAGTTATAAGCCACGTACAAGTCACTAGAATCCAAATGGGGCGGGTCCGAGCACCCTCAGGCGGAGGGTATGGTTCTCTCCTTGACTGGCCAAGGCGTTCCAGACGCACAAGTTAGAGCGATATTCGGCGTTCGTGGATCCAAGATAGCGCGTCTCAAAGCCGTAACCAAGAATAGGATCGACATTCTGCACACTCGGTGCCAGCGTAGCCGCCCAAGTCACTCTTACTCAGATGATGGCGTGAAATTTCTAATTACAGACTGTAACGAATGGGAACTTCAAGAAGGATATCCATGTTCGCATCGTAATTTATGGCAGTACTTAGTGTAGCCTGGTGTAACTTGGAAATTATTAAGGTCAAAATACAGAACAAAAGCTGAAGACCAAAGCCGTCGTATTATGGAGTATTCGCGATAGCTCCAGTACGTACACTATTACTTTCCTGGTGTTCACCAATAACAACAATTTAGTCCCGGTAACCTCAGATATTGATGGCGACACATCATATTTTAGAAGAGATATCATTTAGCTTAACACGGACGTTGGATCGAAGTTGCAGTACATCCAGAGCTGCATCAAGGAAAGGATAGTCGGCATTGCCTGATTACATAAACTTAAATAATGCATATGTTTATGACAGAATAGTTGAGTACCGGGTCATTGGTGTGACCCGGGTCACCGCCAACTGGCTCAAATCAAAAGGTCTACGTATGTATTATACCCAATCATATTCGAAACTTCTTTATTCTGGTACTATGGTGTGATACTACACCATGAGATCTCTGCGAACCTAATCAAATAACTTGATTCTACTATGGTGCGAACTTAACGTGCCAGATTCATGTTATCTGTGATAACGACATTATTGCGACTTTTCACTTTGAAAGAATGATATGGCAAGTGGGCAAAAGAGAGATGCTGAGGACTTAGCTACGATGGCGCAGTCACTTCAGTGTAAGCGGACAAAGACAGGTACTTAACGCACATATAACTCCAAGGTTAGCACCATGAGAGCATGGTTAAGCTCTTAATTCCCTAGACAATCGACGCTACCTCGAAGAAGATGTGTATTCATCTCCCAATGAAAGCTATTCTCGATTTTTTTCGGGCATATGTGCAGCCCCACTCACGAGGGTGATCGCGATAACGTAGGTACGAAGAATGCGACAAGCATTCTGCTTTCGCCTTCACGTATTTGGGCTACCACAGCGCTCTGGGGAATTTTTATCGTGCGTAGCTCATTTAGTTGGTCCTCAGGTCGACAAGGAAGGGAAACGTCGGCTTAAAGGCTCCGGTTATGAGCTTCTGGCTCTGAAAACAATGAGACTTGTAAAGAAAGGTCAATCCTGGTCGACGGTATTATTTGGATGGAGCATTTTCTTGTGGAACTTGATGAACCGGGCGGATTCGATTGATATTATCATGTTGCAACATATAAATTGGTTTAAAGATTGCCTATTTGTCGAAGAGCAAGGTCATAAAGGTGCCCAGACCGCAACATAAAAGCTTGGGAAGCATTTACACACCAACCCGTACGAGCCGCCCATTCTCGCTATCGTTGTGCTAATATTTTGCTGTCCTGAACACGGTAAAGAAGGCAAACAACAGCTTTTTTTAGGTAGTGACTCGAAAGATCACTTAGATCGCTTGCTACGTCGTGTTATTAAGTCTTTAAGTGAGGAAGAGTTGTGTATACTGAGTTATATACCAGAAGACATCGGCACTCACTACCTTTACTGCGTAATGGTAGTAGCGCATACGCACTAGGACATGTAGTGGTCAGCCACCGTCTCAGTGTAGGCAAAAGTCTAGGAAAGTTGAAAGAGACACACACCCATTTTGGAGAGGGGGTAGACCAACTGTGCGGAAGAATGATTGCTGGATTGTAATTTAATTCTGAGCGCTTTGGGATATTACCTTCACATTTCCCACCGGCATTGGTAACTAAAATGACGACCGATTACCGAAATGAAATTGTAAGCTGCTACAGCAGCTATCCACGTGGATTACAATCAGCTTTCTTTTCTATGGCGCCACTCATCCACCAGATAGATATCGTCGCACCACGCTATCTTCTTCACATTCAATATTGATAGCAAGAGTATTTTCCGCAAAATTCGCTTCTGGGCGATCAACGTGGAGTGACTGTTAATGCAATCGGTACGTCAGCAGTGTCTGGACTCAAGGCAACCGGAATTCCAGAGCACCTCGCTGTTGCAAAGCAAGTGAAGGAGCTAAGAGATGAGGTCACCAATCTCCAAAAAGAAGTCGAAAGTGTGAAGCTTGATATGGACGGGAAACTGCCCAGCGAAGTTGCAGTTAAAGTTGTTTGTGAATTGCGACCGCATTTTGTGGTAATCGGGGTTGTTCCTATTTCGCTGCGCGATCTGGATAATAGAATTAGTGGCCTACGGACCAACGCAGAGTAAGCAACATGATATTAGTGCAGCTCATCGAATGAAACACTCACGTGTAAGCAGTGTTATGGGATACCTGGAGCAACTTGCAGAAGCAAGTGCTCTGCTACCAGCCTTGGTTACTAGAATATCAGTCCTGCAGATTGTAGTTGCAGACAACATCCTTGATACTGTCTTCGCTCCGATGCTCTCAAACCTGTATACAACATCACCAAAAAGAGTGGACGAACTATCGTGCGGAAAGCTTTACTAACGATTGTGCGCGTATCGTAAGAATAATGGATAATAATAGTCTGAGTATACAAAATGTATCCATCTTTCTGACCAATCACAGTACGTTAAATTCCATGATCTGATTCCTATCACAAAGGCCGTCATTAAATACGTTTTTCATACAGTTCAGCCTAGTTTCTTGGAGTAACATCTATGGGTGAATGGGCTTTAGTGTTACCCGTGGCCTCCCATAAGCAACATTCACATGTGTTTTTTCGCTGTCACAAGTGTCGACGAATCGGGAGGGGTACAGCGTGAGCGGACCCGGATGGCAGGCTGGGCGCGGAATGGAGGGGAATACCGGAGCGGGAATGAGCGGTTGCAGGACGTTTGCAATTTCTGATTTTCTTAAAACAGAAGTGTTGCTTTTACTGGTTTTTACCGGTATGGAATTTGCTTTTTTATGCATAGAATATTGGTGAACGTAGGCATTTCCTTTGTTAAAACAATTAGAGATTGTGCATCGTAAGAAAAATCGCGTGAAAAACGTCAAAATGTAACGAGCTCTAACGAGGAGCCAACGGGTTCTTTATGCCTCACATTTCTACATACATGTAGAGAATTGTCTCTAGACTAAGCACATCCAATTCTCGGGCCAGAGTAGCACACAAGTATAAATAATAAGGGGATAAAATCCAAACCTTTCCTGTGCAAACACGGCTTTATTCGTCAATACTGGATAAAAAATCATTCGTGCCGACCATGAGGATTTACAGTGCGTGTGTGTACACAGGGGGGGGGGGGGTAAATGTAAACTGTAATGATGGTGTCACTCACGTTGACAAGATCAATGATTTCTACTGTAACTTACCAATCGCCAACAATATTACTGTGATTTTTACGGAGGGTGATTAGTAAGCGGATTTCCATCGCGTTTCCATGCCAAAAATCCATTCGCAGCCACTCTTCGGTGCAGTAATACGGATGGTTTCCAAGTAGTCCAAGGTACCTGTACATTCACTTTGATACTGTTTGGAGCAGTTGATTAATCTCGAATCCGAGTGCTCGTGACCAACATCGATGGAGGAGGCGATCGAGCGCATTAACGAGCTACAACCGAAGTATGTGTTCGTCACAGCGAAGAGCGGCGCTGGGAAGACGTACTTCTCGAATCGGCTGAAAGGGTATATAGTACTGGAGTTGGACGCAGTGGTAACGAAAATCGGGCAAGCTTTTGGCCTTGAATATCCAACAGAGTTCGAAATATACAAGAACGCTCTTCCTGCTCCTATCGTAGACGCATTTGTGATGCACATTCACTCCTTCTTCCAGCAACATCCAAGCAGTCCAATTGTGATCGAAGGAGCGATTGCAGAAGCAGAACTGGTCAAGAGGATCTTCTCGGGTTCGTACGCTAAGTTCAAAATGGTGTATTTGTACCCGGTCGACGTGGATGCGTACGCGTCGCGGATGATGAAGCGCTTTAAGCACGAGAAGGAGAATGGTCTCCGTGACCTGTCAATCTGGCCAAAAGTGACTCCGGAGCTTGAAAACACTGCGAACGACTCGGACGATTTGAAGGAGTTCATGCTACGGATGGCTCGTGAATCTACTGCTGCGTCAGCTCAGCGCTTCGACTACTTCAAGAAGAATGGTCTAGAGATGGTTCGAGTCGAAGTATAGGACACAGAGTTCTGTTATACGCGGAATACCTTTAAGTGTGAATGAATACACTTCGCGTAACTTGCCCGAATTTATCTTGCTCAATATTCACACTATTTCGTCCATGACTTCCGTGGGGCTCACAGCACACCACGACATGCTGCTGCAAAATGACATCCAGTTAAGCTTTGCTTCTTTACAAAAGAGCTAGCAGCGCTGTTACTCTTGTTTAATGCATCCCCGATAATTGCATTGCCATCTGATACCAGTGCCAAAGAAAATATATTTACCAAGAAGGTTCGAGAACAAACAAACGCTCACTATTCAACGCAGTGGTGTAAGAGCTAATGCAACTGTAACTACTCTCGGGCCATCGGAATGATACACCAAACACACTAGCAAATCCAAGCTACATGTATCCGCACCCATCCGACCATCGCCTGTTTATCTCTTGAGGTGGCTCACGTACTTGAACGTGAGGTAGATTGCCACCTGCAGCACAGCCCAGATCACCAGCAGTCCCGCCATGAAGTTGTACTTGCGTTCGGGACGGAAGTCATACGTTTCCTCGATGTAGGCAGACACCGTCATGTCCGTCGACGTGTTGCCCGCAGTCACGGTGATGATGTCCTGGTTGTCGCCGAACTGCACACCAACAAGCGCCGACAGCGAGTAGCTCGACGGCATCAAGTACGTGAACCATTTGTAGCCAGCCTTCATCGACGGACGCGGCAGCAAGTAGCCCGAGAACAGGTTGAACAAACACGACAGCGCACCGACAGCCACGTTCGCCACCTTCTCGTTCGGCATCAAAGCCGACATCCACTGACCCACGTACGTGCACGCCGACGTGTAGAGGTAGAAGACGAACATGAAGAAGATGAAGTCGCCTCCGTTGTCACTCCAGCCAACCAGCCAGTACTCGATCGTCACGAACAGCACGATCACGATGATCAGGTAGGGCACTTCAGCGAACCACAGCGACAGACTGTAGGGCAGCGGACCGTAGTAGTTCGACATGCGCTCGCGGTAGAACACAGCACGCTCAGCGCACGTCACTTCCAGCACCGTCATCAAATTGATGACACCGATGAAGTCCATACTGTTGTAGATGAGACCGATGTGCGAGTTGATCTTCTTGACACTACCCGCCGACAACTGGTAGAACGTCGTGCCGAAGATAATAGCGAACAACGGGAACAGGAACATGCGCATGAAGTTGTACTGCGGGTTTCGCCAGTACGTGAGTTGCTGCTTCTTTGTCAGGTGGCCGAGTTGGTTCCAGAAGCCCGTCGCGATCGGCGTGTAGTTGAGTGTCGAGTGACGCACGAAATCTTCCGAGACTTCGGCCAACTGCAACGTACGCTCGCGGTTCTTGGCACACAACTCGCTGTTCTTGTACTCCACCGAGTAGTCTTTGACGTCACGGCCGATACCAGCGCCGATAACCTCAAGCATGTACGTGGCCGGGTTGTACTGCGGACGGATCTCCTGGGTACCGGGGATCGACTCGAAGTACTCGAGCATCTTCACTGAGTCCACACCAAGGTCACCGAAGTACGCCGTGTAGCCGCCCTTCTGGAGAAGCAACAGGCCATCGAACAGCTCAAAGATGGAAATGCTAGGCTGGTGGATTGTGCACAGCACCGTACGGCCCGTACGTGCGATCGACTGCACACCGCGCATCACAATCAGAGCCGAGCGAGCGTCCAGACCACTTGTGGGCTCGTCCAGGAACAGGATACTGGGGTTCGCCACCACCTCCACACCGATCGTCACGCGCTTCTTCTGCTCCACCGACAACCGGCCAACCATCTCGCCAGCGATGGCCGACAGCTCCAGCAACTCAAGCGTCTCGTTAACTAGGTTCATACGCTCCTCCTCCGTGAACGTCGGCGGCAGTCGAAGATTGGCAGAGAATACCAGCGCTTCGTAGATCGTCGCCGCCTCCGAGTGAATGTCCATCTGCTCGCAGTACGCCGTGATACGGCTGAAGTTGGCCGGGTTCTTCAGCTCACCGTTCACGATAATGTCACCAACAATGCGGCCACCAGTCTTACGTCCGGCAATCACGTCCATCAGCGTCGTCTTGCCAGCACCCGTTGCACCCATAAGAGCGACCATGCGACCAGGCTCGAAGTGCGCCGTGATGCCGCGCAGGAGCTGCTTCTCCTCACCCGAAGGCAGCGTTACGAAGTACTCCAAGTCCTTAATGCACAGGTTCGATGGCGTGAACGGCAGACCGGCGCCGCGGGCCTTCGTCTGCACGACGTCTCCAGCGCCTGGCGTCCGCACTTCTACGTACACGTTGTCTTCCTCGGAAGCATTATCCGTCATCGCCTTCACGCTGACACCCTTGTACTTCTCGTAGCGGATGAAGTGCAGTGCCAACCCGTTTAACGTCGTGAAGAACAGGTAGTAGGCCAGAAGAATGCCAATGCCGAACCAGATGTACTCCGTGCCTTCCGAGATCGAGAAGCTGTCTAGGAACTTGGCACTCTGGGCAGGTGTGTACCGGTCGCTAGAGAACTCGGACAGCATGTTGCTGCGCAGCGCCCACGCCAGCGGGTTGAACCAGTACATCCAGATCCAGTAGTTCGGGATGAGGTCGGCCAGGATAATGTTACCGGAGAACAGCAAGAAGAAGCTCACGGAGATACCCGCCAGCGCCTGACCCACTGTGATACTCGGCGACAGAGAGCTCAACATCGTCATGTACGCGCCGATGGCATGTTGGAAGCACACGAGCACCAGGAAGAAGACGATGTACTTCTCGAACGTCCGTGTCAATCCACTCATGAAGTAGAAGAACGTGCCCAAGATGAACGACACCGACAGGTTCACTGGAATCTGCACTACCGTCTCTGCGATAGCGTACGACATCGTGCGGAAGAAGTTGCGTGGGCGCTGCTTGTAGAAGACGCCGCGCAGTTGGAACGAGATGGTGATCTGCTGCCACGCCTGACGCTGGAACAACGCGATACTGAAGAAGATCATGCGCAGATAGTACGTCGAGTTCACGTTGAAGTAGATCATACCAAGCACGAGACCCACGATCAGGGCCTCGAACAGCTTACCCCACAACAACGGCGGGTCTCGCAACCAGATCAACTTCTGACGGTTCAGCAGGAGTAGAGTACTGGGCACGAAGGCCAGACCAAACTCCGACTTCTGCTTCGAGCGCGCCAAGTTGGCCACGCTCTTGGCTTTCTGGAAATCCTCCGGGTTCTCAAACTGGTGCTCGTTGAAGCCTTTACTGATCGCCTCGTGCGTCTTCTTGTAGATAATCGACTGGCAGAACAGGTTGTTGAAGTCCTCGGACGTCACCGCCAGGTCCTTCTTCTCCACCTTGCCGTTTGAGTATCGATGACCGCGACCCGACGTCACCTCGATCAAGAAGTCGGCCGGATCCACACGCGGTGGGCAGCTGAAGCCGCGCTCGTCGAAGTAGTCCAAAATCTCCGTCCTCGGTCCGTGGTACACCATGTGACCTTCATTGACCATCAAAATGTCGTCGAACTGCTCCACCACCTCAGGCGTCGGCTGCAGTAGCGCCACGATGACCGATCCACCCAGTGTCTTGCACCACGTGCGAAGTGCCTTGATGATGTCGAACGTCGCGGCACTGTCCAGACCCGTCGAGATCTCGTCACACAGAAACAGACTCTGGCCACCGACCAGCACCTCGCCCACCGTCACACGCTTACGCTCACCACCACTCACACCACGCAGCAGTGCATTACCCACCACAGTGTCGGCGCAGTTCTCCAGACCCAGTATCTGCAGGAACAGCTCCGTACGCAGCGCCGCGATGTCGCGCATCTCCTCCGGCTGGTCTTCTGGACGTCCATTCACGCACATATCGGCGAATTTGAACGTCTCGCGGACAGTTAACGTCGGGATGTGGTTGTCCGTCTGGTCAACCAGACCCACCAGCTTGATGAGGTCGATGTCTGCACCCTTTAGACCGGAGTAGAGAATCTCTCCCCCGATCTCCGTCTGCTTGTTGTCTTGCAGCTTGCCGGCCAGTGCCTTCAGAAACGTCGACTTACCGGCGCCCGGGTTGGCCAGGATCAACGTCATGGAGCCTGGTTTGATGATACCGCTCATCGGGTGCAACGCGTGCTTAGTGGTCATGGGAGTCTTCTGCCACGGCGTGAAGATGGAGCTCAGATGCGAGCCCACTGTGCCGTATGCACCGGCCTCGGCCGGCACCTGCACCGAGAACGACAGGTTCTCGAAGCGCACCTCGGGGGTCGGGAGCTGCAGGTTGATCTTGCGCGACAAGTGGTTGTACTT